ACACACACACACACACACACACACACACACACATATATATATATATATATATATATATATATATATATATATATCAAGCACAAGAAATTTATTTGGTGTTTGTTTATATGTTTAGCAATTATCGGGGTGAGAGATATACGACTTGTGTCTATAGACTATAATAGGATGGTGCATCAAGACTATAGGGTAGAATTTCAAATAGAATACTATGTCTAAATCTGGGACAGGCTATGAAATGGTGACTTGTAAATTGCAGTTGTTTCTGGGAGAGGGTTGATGATGGAAAGGATCAACAATATAAAAGAAAATCTTGTGTACTGGAAATTCATATGCTGGACTGATGACAAGGAGAAATTCTCTCTTGGTTTTAGCTTCAGTCTATAACCATCCTCCTCTCTATCATAGCAACAGAGGTGGTACTGAAGTAGGTAGCATTTCAGAGAACACCAACAGCATCTTCCATTCTGTACTTCACTTGAGTGCTCTTCAGGCCCCATTGCTTTTCTAAGAATAGAGGATTTGTATTGAATTTTTCATATGTGACCTGCGGTGGCCTTCTCAAGCCATATGGACAACTTCCTTTTAGTCTGTGGTAGAAGCTGGAAAATCGTGGCTTCAGAAACTATCCATTTGCTATAAGATAAAACATGGTCATGTGCATAGAATTTTTTTGGAATGCTTTTTCCAAATAAGGCATTGCTGGAGGACTAGTGAGGTGAAAGAGTACCTGTGACCTGAGTTCAAACCCTGGAACTCACATGGTGGGATGAGGGAGAGCACACTCCCTTCCAGAAGTTGTCCTCTGATATCCAGGTATGCTCCACACACCATTACAAAATAAAGAAAAATTAAAACATTGTAATCATTTTAAAGGCCTTGTTAGAAGACAGCCTTGCCCCCACCCCCCCTTTTTTTGCTCATTCTTCTTCCTATTTGGAAAGAGAACTTGGGGTTTGAAGATACAGCAGCCATCTGAGGCTTGGGAACAGAACAATACACTTGAGATAAAGGCCTGTGGATGGAGAACTGGAGAAATGCAGATATTGACGGTAGAGTTAAGGTGCCACATAAACTTGTGCCCAGCCTAGGATTTCCTTTATGAAACAGTGAACCCTTATTGACCTTTCCATTTAAAAATTTTAATTTACTTAGACAAGGTCTCACTATGTATCCCCAGCTGCCTTGAACTCAGAGAGCTACACTGGCCTCTAGCCTAAATCATTTTTATAACACTGTTCTGCACAGCAGCGTGTCATCAACATAAGACCTGGAAAATGCTTTACTTTCATTTAGCTTTGACTCTTTGAATCTAGCAAGGGCCTTACATATACTGAACATTTGAATTTGTAGTGGCTACATTTCAAGTTCTCATTGGCAACTCTAGCCAGAAACTGCTGTCATGGCAGCCGAACTGGAGAGGGTGCTATTCACTCAGGGGCCTGCATAGCTGACCCTTCCCACCCAATTTTCTCTCATCAGCGAGGCTTTCCTTTGATATTCATCTGAAATGGCATCACTCTGGATCCTCACAAAGTACCCATGCCTCTCATTTCTATAACACCTATGTCGTGTTTCCCGCTAAACTTTATTGTTACTTGACATAGTCTTTGCTACAGTGTTTTGTCTTTTACCACTAAGTGCAAACGCTGTAAAGACAAGGAATTTGCTTTTATTTTATTTTATTTTAATTAGAAAGAAATTATTTTACAGGTCAATCCCAGGTCCCTTTCTCTTCCTTCCTCCCCTGCTCCCACAACTAACACCCTACCTGTCCCATACGCTTTCTGCTCCCAAGGGAGGGGGTCCTTCCATAGGGGGTCTTCAATGTCTGACTTATTCTTTGGAATAGGGCCTAGGCCAACTCCCTTGTGTCTAGGCTCAGGGAATATCCCTCCATGTGCAATGGACTCCCAAAGTCCACACCTATGCTAGGGATAAGTACTGATCCACTACAAGAGGTCACATAGATTTCCGAGGTCTCCTCACTGACACCCACATTCAGGGGGTCTGGATCAGTCCCATGCTGGTTTCCCAGCTATCAGTCTGGGGAGCAAAAGCTCCCACTTGTTCAGGTCAGCTCTTTCTGTGGGTTTCACCAGCCTGTTGTGGACCCCTTTGCTCATCAGTCCTCCTCTGCAACTGGATTCCAGTTCAGTTCAAAGTTTAGCTGTGGGTATCTGCTTCTACTTCCACCAGCTGCTGGATGAAGGCTCTAGGATGGCATATAAATTAGTCATCAATCTCATTATCAGGAGAGGGCATTTAAGGTAGCCTCTCCTCTGTTGCTTAGATTGTTAGTTGGTGTCGTCTTTGTAGCTCTCCAGACAAGGCATTTTTTTGCACACTGTTTGCTACCTGATGTGTTGAAAGGGATTCATATGCAGTGGGCCCTCAGTATGTGGTAAATGAATGAGTGTATTTAAGACTCATGTTCATGGTTCTATAAATTTGCATAATAATTATTTTCATGATTGTCTCATGAAAGTAATTTTATCTAATAAAACGGATGTTTTTTTGAAAACTTTATTTTTTCTGGCTATCTTTTTGAACACACAATTTTTATGTGCAGTTTAAAATTTTGATTTTCAAATTTGTTTCAACTGAAGTTTGTCTTTCTTCCTCCCCCCTTTTCATGTCCTTTTTTCCTGCTCCCCTCATCACTGTTCTTTTTCTCATATTTTTTGTGATGTCATCACCTGGATAATGTCATGGGTCAACTCTCAGGTAGCTCAGAGATATGTCATGGGGATGCTGAAAATCCCATCCCAAAAGAGCTGTACGTAGGTCACAGCCTGGTCCTTCTCTACAGGAGTCTCACAGAGGATATCCTTCTCAGTGTATTTTCATGTGGGTTACTTTGGTTCCTTTCATGTGTATGGTACCCTATCCCTCTTCCTATATCCAAGCCATATGACAGCTGTGTCACAATGACATGAAACCATGTTTGCTTCTACATAATGTACTAAAGTCTGATTTAGAATTGGAATTATACATGTATGTGCATGTATGTAAATCTACTTCATAATATTTTGAAAACGTAACTAATATACAGTGAGCCATCATAGACCTCAAGTGTATTTAATAAGAGAACTAAATACACTCTTTCTCTCATTATCACCCTTCTTAGTTGCCCTAGAAGGTGCCCTAGTGTAAATTCCCGGTGTAACCTTTAGTTGTTGCTGTATTGTTAAGTCACTTGGTGTCAGGCTGGGGTAGGACATGAGAGATTTTATTCTTGGATGCACAACTTAAATGTATTTTTAAAAACCAGTAATAAAAACAAATGGATCTTTAATGTGATTTTCTTTAAGGAACAGAAGAACAGTGTGATGAGCAAAAGCTCATTTTTCTCAGCTTTTATGACAGGGTCTGACCTTGTAGTTGCACACAGGTCTCTATTGCCTCACTTTCATATTGACTCTGCTTAAATGTCCAAAGCCTACTCAACCTGTCTGATGACTTCACTTTTGTAAAACAGTAAATTGTAGACTGATTAATTTGTCATGTTTAATTTGCTTGTTTTTAGGAGATAATTGGGTGGAATAACATAACTTGAAAGAAAAGATGATGATGTAAATAAATGACTTTTCTTCTATCTCTGCAAAAGCTTTATAAGCTGAAGAAGAATTTGCAAATGGTCATCATGGTACAGTAGAGTGCTTGCAGTCCCAGCTGCCCAGGAGGCTGACCTAGGAGGACCACTGTGCCCAGGAATTTGAGTCAAGCCTGGACAACATAGTGAGATACCCATCTCAAAGCAAAATAAACATTAAAACAAGTAAAATGTGGAAAGTGTTCAGGAAGCTAGCAGATAGGTTTCTGCATTGTGTAGTCTTTAGTTTTTCAATGGGAGCTTTTCATAGGCAGGGTACATGTTTCTAATTAGAAAGCACAAACTCCTTTGAATACACATTGTATCTATGCAAAGAAGTGAGTGAAGAAAGCGGGGACCATAGTGCATAAAATAGAAAGTACAGTTGTGATGTGTGGTGCACCAAGTTCAGGCTTATTAATCAGACATGTTTTGTAATGTTCATTCCCTCAGAACAGACAAGATCCTAGAATACTTTTTTGTTCTTTAAGTGAATTTCACAAAACTTTTTTCTAGTTTTTTTTGTTTTTCAACTAATTTTGCTGCTCAAGTAGCTCCATACCCTACAAAGTTTGTCTTCTAAGTTTAGAAACATAGGAAAAAAGTAATAGTAACCCTACTGTGTGGGGATAGGTGGGCTTGTGTGTAAAAGTTGCAAAAGAAAGTAGTACTGAGACAGAAAACACCAGACTGCATAGGACTTATTTCTTATGATTTTAGTTACATTGGTGGAAATTTTCCTTGTAATCACATGTTTTTTTCTTGGATGTTTTAATTTTATGTTGTCTGCTCATTGAATTCTGTGTAGCATTGTGCTGCCTGAATATTGCACTGATTTGTAAATGGGGAGAAACCAACAAGGCTTAGAAATTCTTATTAATTTCAGTCTCAACTATAATAGCATCTTCCCACTTAAGAGTTAAGGAGAAAAACAATTATAATTGTTTTCATTGGTGTGTGAGAGGACAGTTTTTAAAAATCAAAACAAGAAAAAAAAAAAGCTATTTTCTAATCCTATACCGGCCAGTAGTTGACCACACCTGGTGTTTGGTTTGAACTTTCACAGTGGCCTGGCTGTAGAGCTGTCAGATTTGTTTACAGTTGCTTTTTTGTTGGGAGCATAGCACGAAGGTCTCCAGAGAAACCAGGAATGTTAACCCACAGGATTTTCTTTCCAATTGGAAAGATGAAAAACCTGTTCTTCTGTCCAGAAAGCTGAGATTTGGAAGTGATTAACAGCCTGTTGGTCTAGGCCATATCAAGTTCTTACAACCAAGACTGGAGGTGACTTATAACCTAAATGACTCATAGCCAGAGGCTCCCCCAAGCTCCTACAACCAGAGCCAGAGGTGGTTCATAGCCCAAATGACCAAGACCAGGCCAGACCCTTAGGCCCTTAAGCAGGTAGCCTATCTCTAGAACCCATCTTTTTGAAAGAAATAACAGGTACCTGAGTTGAGTGTCCATGTAATTATGCTTTCTTGTGCAACAGACATTGTATTACACTAGGACACCCCCCCCAATTATACTGGGCTTCAATAGATTGGGAATAAACTACCTGTTATTAGACTTCTCAAAGTCTGATCCAGGTTGACGAAGTTTTTATCCATTCAGTTTGCTTCTCTTTATGACACCCCTCAGATTTCACTGCTTATTTATGCTTACAATACATCAAGCAACTATTCATAATTTATGTTTCTTGAAACATAATATTGGCTTGAAATGGTTTCTTCAGGATAGACAATTATTCGTAATGTTTACCTGAGTAGAATGTGAGGGAAAGGCCTTCTGATGTTCATGTTATCGGAGAAATATTGTTTCCTAACCCAGCCTCACTCTTAAAAACATGCTAATTTTTCTTAAATCATAGTTTTAAGGATAATTCGGCATTTGTAATTTGGCACACTCCCTCCTGTACAGTGATACAGATGTGAAAGGAGCAGTTAGATGCTCTCAGGAAGCATGACAAAGATGACTATGAATAAAGTGACAAGGCATTTTACATTGTTTTGACTGTGAGAAGACAAGGACATTGTCCTGCATCTCAGACCCAGGGAATAGGTTAACCAGGTTACACTGTCTGTGGTGAGCCTTTGCTGGCAATACTTATCTTGTGAAGTTAGTGGTTTATACCATTTTGAAAATCGTTGTTTCTTGGTGGCCCTAGAACAGCATGTAGTTAAGCTTTTAATGTCTTTTGGTACCATTGCACATTAAAGCCCATGGACATTCTTATTCTTTTACTTTTATCTCTTTTGCAGGATGGTGAGGTGGATGCAGAAGAACTTCAGAGATGCTTGACACAGTCTGGAATTAGTGGAACTTATGCACGTGAGACCATGTGTTGTTTTGTTTTCCCTTTCTTGTTGCATAGGGAATTAGACACTCATTCGAAGCATTTTAGTTCCACATCTAAAAATATTAAAAATATTATAAACTCTACGTTGGTGTGCCATGTTTGATAGTTCTGTACAAGTGTCATGAAAAGAAATGCTCATTTACACTCCTGACTTCAACATTAACTGCTCAGGAGAAACATCTTTTAAGTGGTTGTAAATGGTTATTTCCAAAATTTGCTTCCAGATCTCAAAGTATCATAGTTTTACTTCTATACATTCACAGCTTTGTGATTATCAATTGTGGTCCTGCTATGAAAAATGAGTATTTTAACCTTCTCCCAACCTTAAAACCACTCTATCGCTCCATGTGAAAAATCTCCATCCTTTGCCCTGCTGATGGATTATAATGCTTTGGGGACCTTCATCAGCATTTGCCTATCTCTGCTGTCCACATATTGCTTACATCTGTCTCTTGCAACAGTGTATGATTTCTTTTCTTTTTCATGTAGCTTTTTGTTTTTCCCAAAATTCACAGTAGCGAGTGTATGGGAGGGGCCCAGTAAAACAACTGCTGAAATGGCTGCTCCATTACGGGAAGAATTTTATTGTGGATTAGAGAGAGAAAATATCCAGAGACATCTGGAAGAGTCCAAAGTAGAGAGGAAAAGAGAGACACAGGACTTGGCCCTGGGCTGTCTTCGAGAGAAGGGAGAAAGCAGGGAATAGAAAGAGCAGGAATAGTACAGAATGGGGGGAGGAGGTAAGGCAGGAGGGAAAATTTTGTCCTTATATAGAGAACAGATGGGTATCCGGGAGGAGGGAAGCCTGGTGAGGTGAGAAGGGCCAGAAGAGAGTGGGACCCTAGAAAGGTATAATGGGTATTTGCGAATAGGCACTGTAGGTGCCTGGTTCCTGGAGGCTAGCATGCTCTGTGATAGGCAACCACAGGAATAGTGCATGGACATTCATATGTCCCTTCTACCAGAGGCAAAGGAAAGAATTCCTTTGGCAGATGGGAACCTGTTTCAAAAGTTCCTGAGGTATGCTGATTTTTATCTAATGGCCAGAAACCCTTCAATAGTCCAGCTTGAGCTAAGCCAAGACTGTCATTTCTGGACACACTCACTGCCTTTTGGAGTTTGGGAAATCGTTGTTTCATTTGGACCTGACCGCTCAGTATTGCATCCCTCTGGTTCTCCCAGGGCTTCCTTGTAAGCTCTGTGTTTTATGGGTGGGTCTCATTCTTTCACCACTATTCTGCTACTCTTTCCCCTCTGGAGCTGCATCTCTCGTTTTTATTCTATTTCGGTTGTCTAATACTTTTAAACTCAATCCGTTATTCCATCGAGGTATCTCATTAAGTAGCTTTTAATGAAAAGGTGCATGGATTACCATAAAGTTTTGAAATGTCAAGGGTTTGAAAATGCTTTCATTTTGTCTCAATCATTTGAATGGCTGGTTGTCAAGGTGCAGAGTTCTCTGCTACACCCAATTTCATAGAACTCTATTTTTTTCATAGAGCGGTAGGTAGCATCCACTTAGACAGAGGAAGGAAAGGGACTGCCAGCTTTAAATGCTCCTGCCATCAACATTCCTGCCATTGTTTTTATTGTTTTGTTTTTGCCATTTTCACACACATTTTCAGAAGGGTATCCAGTCTCAGATGCCATTAACCCAGTCTCTTTCTCACCTAGGAGAGATTGCTGTTCCTCTCTGGAAGCTGAGGGACCGCTGTGTCCCTCACAGGTCCCCACTGCTCTGACATTTCACAGTGCAGTGCTGCCTTGTGGTCTTGCATGGGGAACTGTGTGGGTGTGTTCAGTCTGGAATCTCTTGTACTTTTTTGTTCTGGGAAATTTTCTTCAGTTGTGTTTCCTGGGGCTGAGTCGTCTGTTCTCCTTTTTATGGAATGTCCTCAGCTTTCTTTTGTAAACCTTCTGTGTCTTTCATTTCTGGTGGTGTGTTTTGTAAGAGCTAAGAGCCTCTGTGCTTTTTCACAAATGTTAGGTTTTCTATTATCTCTCTGAAACTATTACATAGCCTTTCCTTCCTCAACATTATATTTTTTTCATAGCTTATTTGGTTATCTTCCTTGTCATTTCTTGGGTGTCTGATGACACTTGGTTGCTCATGTCTCAAGAAAATACCGAGTATAAGCCCTGGTCTGGTTGACTGTGAGCTTCATTAGAAAGTAAAGCTGGGCAGTTTCACTGTGGGATTCTGTCATGGGAGATTTCTTTTGTTTCCTTTGGGTTGCCTTCTCTGTTGTGTTTCAGGGTTCCTTAAATCTGGAAATTTTTAGTTAACTGGCTTGTTTTTCAGTATAGATCATTCCTATACTGTGCCTAGTGCCCTATAGTCTAGAAACATCTCCAGAAAGTGAAACTCCTGCTGGGTGAGAGGGTAGGTGTGACAGCCATCCATCTAGAGGCAGAGAGGGATTGGGTCTTCACATGCTCTTAAAATAGCCCTTCACTCAGCTCTGTTTTTAGTTCCACCTTCACACACATGTTCAGAAGCTGCCAATTCTTAGACATTTGGCATCTTTCCCAAGATAACTAGGTTGTTTCTCAACATTTCTCTTTATGCATAAACATTAAATAGCCATATCCCTTGCCTTTATAACTTGCAATATTATATATACACATAAATTGACATATTCACTTTTTCTCTAAGTGTTTAAGCCTTCCCAAAACAACAACAACAAAAAAGCTGTCCATTCCAGTGGATTGTGAGGAGGACGTAAAACCTGTAAAATTCTGTCTCTCCACTCTATAAAAGCATTTAATCTTTAAATACCTAGTCCTATCCTGAGATTGAAAAATATGGTTATTTGTTGATTTAATTTTTAATTTTTGTTTTAATCTGGTTAGATTATTCCACTTCCTGAATGTGAACCGAGTTAAATTGGAAAAAAGATGGCATACTACAGATTTTTTTTTTCATATAACTTTCCCCAATTTCCAGTAGTTTATTGTGGAGAAACATTAGGCCTCAGTATTGGTGGTTCTATATACTACCTTTATGAAATTAGAAAACCACATTTCTTGGCTCAAATTTCTTTATTTATAAAATTGGAACTGTTACATATTTGACCCATTTGTGTTAAATCATGTGCTCCACTGCAATGGCTAGTCTTCATCACAAGCATGGCTGGACTTGGGGTCACCCAGGACACGCACCACAGGGTGAGTTTATCAGGGCAATTCTAGGAAGATGCACCCAGAGTGTGAACCGCACTACCTCATGGGCTCGATTGGAATGAAAAGAGGAAAAGGAGTACGCATTCATTTCTCTTTGTGTCTGACTGTAGACAAAATGTGACCAGCTGGGCTGGAGAGATGGCTCAGAAGAACCATTGATCTTCCACAGGTCCTGAGTTCAATTTCCAACCATATGGTGACTCACAACCATCTATAATGAGATCTGATGCCCTCTTCTGGTGTGCAAGTTACATGCAAGCAGAACATTTCTTTGGGTATTCTGTACAACAATGATACAGTAATACACCCACATTTATGTACCAGTACGCATTCACTGAGGGTGCGGAGTGTTTTTCTTAGTACACTGTAACCAACAACCCTAGCACTGGCACTATCCAGAACAGCTAAAGAAAACCAGCTGTTGTTCCTAGCAGAATATTTTATAATTTTTTAAAGATATTTTGAAACTTATCACATCTCATTGGTTTTAAGCAGTTATCAATGTTATCAAGCAGCATAACAGTGAATATAAATTATTTATTCACTCTTTAATATTAGGGAGCTAAAAGAATCTTGTATGCTTACCTGAATTTTGCTAACATACTCCTATTTTAGATAAATCATACCATTTCTGCTCCCCAGGGAGGGTGAGCCCTTACACAGGGGATCTTCAAAGTCTGTCATAGCCTTTGGGATAGGACCTAGGACCTCCCCTGTTTGTATAGGCTTAGGGAGTATCTCTCTATGTGGAATGGGCTCCCAAAATCCATTCCTGTGCTAGGGATAACACTAATCTACTACAAGAGGCCCCAAGGTCTCCTCACTGACACCCACATTCATGGGGTCTGGATCAGTTGTATGCTGGTATCCCAGCTGTCAGTCTGGGGAGCATGAGCTCCACCTTGTTCAGATAGGCTGTTTCTGTGGGTTTCACCAGCCTGGTCTTGACCCCTTTGCTCATCACTCCTCCCTCTCTGCAACTGGATTCCAGTTCAGTTCACTGTTTATTGTCTTCTTTTAGTTCCATCAGTTGCTAGGTGAAGGCTCCAGGATGGCATATAAGTTAGTCATCAATCTCATTATCAGAGGAGGGCATTTAATTTAGCCTCTCCTCTGTTGCTTATTATTAGTTGGTATTATCTTTGTAGATCTCTAGACATTCCCCTAGTGCCAGATTTCTCTTTAAACCTATAATGGTTCCCTCTATTTTGTTATCTCTTTTCTTGCTCTCCTCTATTCTTCCCCAACTCAAACTTCCTGCTCTCTCAAGTCCATCTGAAACCTCCACTTCTACCTTTCTCATTCTCTTAGCTCTCTCTCCCCTCCCCCCATGCTCCTAATTTGCTCAGGAGATCTTGTCCCTTTCCCCTTTTCCAGGGGACCATGTATGTCTCTCTTAGGGTGCTGCTTGTTTACTAGCTTCTCTGGCAGTGTGGATTTTAGACTGGTAATGTTTTGCTCTGTATCTAAAACTCATATATAACATGTTTGTCTTTTTTGTGACTGGCTTACATCACTCAGGATGGGTTCTTCCAGTTCCATCCACTTGCCTGCAAATTTCAAGATTCCATTGTTTTGTTATGTTTTGTTTCCTGCTAAGGAGTAATCCATTGTGTAAATGTTCCACATTTTCTCTATCCATTCTTCAGTTGAGGGGCATCTAGATTTCTTCGAAGTTCTGGCTATTACAAACAATGCTGATATGAACATAGTTGAACAGATGTCCTTGTTGTATGAATGTGTATCCTTTGGGTATATGCCTAAGAGTGGAATTGCCGGATATTGAGGTAGACTGATTCCCATTTTCCTGAGAAATCACCATACTTATTTCTAAAGTGGTTGTACAAGTTGCCACATCCACCAGCTGTGGAGAAGTATCCCCCTTTCTCCACATCCTCTACACCATAAACTGTCATTGGTGTTTTTTAATTTAGCCATTCTGACACAAGTAAGATGGTATCTCAGAGTTGTTTGGATTTGCAATTCCCTGATGACTAAGGATGTTGAGCACTTTTTATGAGTCTTTCAGCCATTTTAGATTACTCTATTGAGAATTCTCTATTTAGTTCTATACCCCACTTTTTAATTGGATTATTTGGTGTATTGGAAACTAGTTTCTTGAGTACCTTGAACATTTTGGAGATCAGCCTTCTGTCAGATGTGGGGTTGGTGAATATGTTTCCCAGTCTGTGGGCTGCCGTTTTTGTCTTGCTGACTGTGTCCATTGCCTTAAAGAAGCTTCTCAGTTTTAGGAGGTCCCATTTATTAATTGTCCATCTCACTGTCTATGCTACTTGTGTTGTGTTCAGGAAGCAGTCTCCTGTACCAGTTTCTTCAAGGGTAACTACCACTTTCTCTTTTAAGAGGTTCAGTGTGGCTAGATTTATGTTGAGATCTTTGATCTATTTGGACTTAAACTTTGTGCATGACTATAGACATGGATGTATCTGCTGTCTTCTACATGCGAGCATCCAGTTATGCCAACACCATTTGTTGAAGATGCTTTCTTTTTTCCATTGTATAACTTTAGCTTCTTTGTCAAAAATCAGGTGTTTGTAGGTATGTGGGTTAATATTAGGGTTTTATTCAATTCCATTGGTCTACCTATCTATTTTTGTGCCAATACCAAGCTGTTTTCTGGAGTATAGCACTATAATAGAGCTTGAAGTTAGGGATGGTGAAGCTTCTGGACATTCCTTTATAGTATAGAGTTGTTTTGTCTGTCCCGAGTCTTTTATTTCTCCATATAAAGTTGAGTATTATTCCTTCAAGGTCTGTGAATAATTGTATTGGGATTTTGTTGAGGATTGCATTGAATCTGTAGATTACTTTTGGCAAGATTGCCACTTTTACTATGTTGATCCTATGTATCCAAGAGCATGGGAGATCTTTCTATGTTCTGATATCTTCTTTAATATCTTCCTTTAAAGGCTCAAAGTTCTTGCTATACAGGACTTTCTGTTATTTTGTTAGTGTTACCCCCAAGATATTTTATGTTGCTTGTAGTTATACTAAAGGGTGTTGCTTCTCTTATTTCTGATTTTTTTCAGTTATTCTTGTATCCTGCCAATTTGCTGAAGGTGTTTATCAGCTACAGGAGCTCCCTGGTAGAGTTCTCGGGGTTACTTATGTAAATTATCATATCATCTGTCAACAGTGACTTCTTACTTTCCAATTTTATTCCTTTGATTCCTTTTGTTTTCTTATTGCTCTAGCTAGAACTTTAAGTACAATATTGAAGAGATATGAAGAGAATGGACAGCCTTGTCTTGTTCCTGATTTTAGAGGAATTGCTTTGAGTTTCTCTCCATTTAGTTTGATGTTGACTGTTGGTTTACTGAATATATGTTTTATTATGTTCGGGTATGTTCCTATTATCTGATCTCTCCAGGACCTTTACCATGAAGAGGTGTTAGATTTGTCAAAGGCCTTTTCAGTATCTAGTGATATGATCATGTGGTTTTTCTTTTGCAGTTTGTTTATTTGTTGGATTGCATTGATAGTTTTTTGTATGTTGAACCAATCCTGCATCTCTTGGATGAAGTCTACTTGATCATGGTAGACGATTTTTCTGATATGTTCTTAGATTCGGTTTGCCAGTATTTTATTGAGTATTTGGGCATCAGTGTTCATGAGGCACTTTGGTCTGTAGTTCTCTGTTTTAGATGTGTCTCTTTGTGGCTTTGGTACCAAGGTAATTGTAGCCTTGTAAAAAGAGTTTGGCAATGAAACTTCTGCTTCTATTGTGTGGAACAATTTGAGGAATATTGGTATTAACTCTTCTTTGAATTTCTGGTAGAATTCTGCACTGAAGCCATCTGGCCCTGGGCTTTTTTTGGTTTGGAGACTTTTCATGAGTGCTTCTATTTCATTAGGGGTTATAGGTCTGTTTAAGTTGCTTATCTGTTCTTTTTTGCTTGTTTGCTTGTTTGTTTGTTTGTTTGTTTGTTTTGAGACAGGGTTTCTTTGTGTAGCTTTGGAGCCTATCCTGGCACTCGCTCTGGAGACCAGGCTGGCCTCGAACTCACAGAGATCCTCCTGCCTCTGCCTCCGAGTGCTGGGATTAAAGGCGTGCGCCACCAACGCCCGGCCTATATTATATATTCTTAAATACATAAATACACCCTTCTCTGTCTGCATAATGTTGGCTTGTATGTGTGTTTTCAGGGCTGATCATTTGTACTGGATAATCAACTAGTGTGCTCTTCCCACGGGAAGACTATTTCTCCTGCTCTCTGCATTCCTCAGTTGCCTCTAGCGCTGCTCAGGGATGATTGCAGAAAGATGGGGGAAGAAGGTTGTAGGAGCCAGAGGAGCAGGGAGTTTGTTGTGAGTTTGTGTTTCCAAGAATTGTCAGACAATGCCGCCAAAACTCCTTTTGCTAAGGTGGCTTGTGTTGATCTTCCTTTCCCCTTTCTGAAGAGAAGACATTGCTTCAGTTCGGTGGCTCATCCTTTGATTCACCTATATGCCAATCTTTCACCTTGAGTCTTACAAACTGGAGTTCAATTTGAGGAAGTGTTCTATTTCTTTTCTGCTGTATCATCACAGGGATGTTCATTGGTCTAATGTGTGATGTTTAAGAATTTCCCGATTTGACCCTTTGCCTTTCTGATGTCCTTTTTCATTACTCTCTGGCATGTTTTATAAGTCCTGTACATTTTCTGACTTCTGGATATGTAGCAGATATCCAGGTAAACCTCCCTGTCTTTGTCTTTGGTGATTTGAAGACTGAAACTGGCTTTCTGCCTAGACTCCTGGCCAAGCCAAGTGCCTGTAATGTGTTCATCTCAGTAACTTTAGGATACTCTATAACTGCTTACCTGGTTACTGACTTCAGTACGTGTGAGTAGTTTGGAAACCGTCCTTTAAAAATACGTTTTATTTTTGTTATTCTAAACACTTAATATACAATAAATATTTATTGCTTATAGTGATTTTATAGTGTTTAGTAATCTTAAAATATTTTTGAAAGTAAAGAATATCCTAATGTTACATAGATAAAACGGAGAGTCTAATATTTCAATACTAAATATATTTTGCAGCCTTCAGTCTGGAAACCTGCAGAATTATGATCGCCATGTTGGATGTATCCTTGAATAAAAATAGAAAAAACCAATATATAGAATCATTGCTTTTGTAACATTAAACCAGTTGTTGATTTTAGAGGTAACTATATTTTGTAAGATCCAGTTTAAATCTATATAGTTTCATTTTCATGCAGAAATCTATTCATATACTGGGTCCTGTTAACTACACAAAATATGTTCTTTTTAGTTAGTGATTTGAGGTATGGGATCAGATAAATTGTCTCAGCTGCCAAAATTTATTTTTGTTAATAAAACTACCAGAGAGACTATACAGGAAAAATGGGATTCAGTGAATTCAAGGAACTTTGGGCAGCTCTTACTGCCTGGAAGCAGAACTTCATGACAATTGATCAAGACCAAAGTGGCTCCGTAGAACATCATGAGCTGAGTCAAGCCATTGCTCTTATGGGTAAGACTATTAACATCTTTTAAAACCCATGTTTACTCACTGATCAAATTATGGATTTTTAATATTCATAAAAGATTTGTTTGTTTTATTTCATGAGCTTGAGTTTGTCTGCAAGTATGTATGTGTACCATGTGTGTGCCTGTTGCTCCAGGAACCTAGAAGAAGGTGTCAGATTCTCAGGAACTGGAGTTACAGAAGGTTGTGAGCCACAATGTGCATACTAGTCGCTGAAACTTGTTCCTCTTGCAAGATCAGAAAGTGTTCTTAACGACTGAGTGATCTTTTCTGCTTACAAATTATGCATCTTAGCTGCTTTAATTTGCTAAGTAATAAAGAACTGTTTTCAGTTAGTGTATCCCTTAATTAAGGCTCACAATTGTAGATAAATCCTGATCAAAGACACTAACACAATCATTATTATTGTTATTTCTTTACTTTGTTGTAGTGTTGAAGATTGAATCCCCAGTCTTGCATATTTGAGACCAGCATTATATAACTGAGCCTTATCTCCAGTCCATAGATTTGTCTGAGATTTCTTCCAAAGATAATCTTTCATTCTTTCTGAGTTCCCTGAGTATAACTATCATCCTAATGTTAGCATCCACCACTTGCATTCCATTCTTTTGTAACTTGGCGGACTATTTAATTATTCATGCAAGGCTTGTCTTAGTCAATCACATATGTCTATACTGGAGGCTAGATTTTCAATTTGTTTTGTTTTTTATCTTCTTATGCAGTATAGAACACACAAGATAGGTACAGAAAAACTTCAAAGTGGGAAGATTGCATTTCAGATTAGTTCAAAAGATATAACTATTTTCATTGTACTTCTTATAGGCTAAGGTTCTTGGTCCACTTGCACAAAGTGGTAATGTACAATGATGCTTAATTTCCTAACAGGTAATGAAGTGGTACTTTGTTCTCTCTCTCTCTCTCTCTCTCTCTCTCTCTCTCTCTCTCTTTAGACAGATTCTCCTGCTTACTCCATAACCCAGGCTGATCTGGAACTCCCTGTGTAGCCCAGGCTTGCCTCAAATTCACTGAGATCCTTCTGCCTTGATCTCCTGAGTTGTAGGTGTCAGCCATACTTTCCGTAGTTTTTTGCCTTAAATAGTTTTCTTATTCTCTTATCTTGTAATTTTATGCACAGTTATTTATAAACAAAAAGTATATACATGAAAATTATCTGTTTGAAAATTAAAATGTGAGCTCAAGCTGCATGGGCTTAAATTATATGTCAAAGAGCTTAAACTAGAGATTTTTTTCAGGTTAGTTAAATAGACATTTTATTTTTGTATCTAGGGAAAATCCAGTCCATATAAACATGTTTGACTGTAGATCCATAGTAATAATTGGTTGAACTTGACCTTCAAGTATAATTTTTAAAAATTAGTACATTTTATTTTATTTTTTTTCAAAAAGTAAGCAGGTTCATCAAGCATCTGAGTGTAAGGAAAGATTATCCTGGGGCCTGCAAGACGGCTTAGTGGGTAAAAATACCTAGTGCCAAGCTGGAAGGAGAGAACTGACTCCTGCCAAGTTGTCATCTGACCTACAAACAATTGCTGTGTCACGTGTGCCCACTCAAACTCTAATCAAAGGTTATATTATTTTTGAACCATTCTAACATCTTAACACCTTCAATTTTTTTTTTTTTTTTTTTGGCTTTTTGAGACAGGGTTTCTCTGTGTAGCTTTGGAGCCTATCCTGGCACTCGCGCTGGAGACCAGGTTGGCCTCGAACTCACAGAGATCCACCTTCCTCTGCCTTCCGAGTGCTGGGATTAAAGGCATGCGCCAACAACGCCCGGCTCAAATATTTTTAAAGTCATTCAAGTTATGGGAAATTTTCAAGAATTGTATTCACGCCACATCCATATCATAACTCACTAGAAGGACACTTGAATGCTCTTTCACATAGTTGTGCTTGTGTGTCTTGCTTGGTATGGCTTTACTTTAGGCATGTTTATAATATATCTAATTTATGTTACATATATATATATATATATATATATTATTGCATATATGTATTATATATATGAAATCATATGTATATCCTACATATATGATTTATTTTGTTTTGTAATGTTGGGGCTCAAACTAGGCAAGCCTTGGTCTTAATCCCTAACCCTATGGGTTATATTTTATTATGACTATAGGCAGAGTTCTTTCTTCTGGCACTGATTTTTATCTTTGACTGGATTAGTGTCATTTTTTCTAAATCTACTGATCCATTAATATGTCTACCATAATGCATCATTCTCCTGAGTTATATGTAAAAGTCTCATTAAATAATTAGGATCATGCTTGGAGTGTAGCAAATAGTATCTCCTAATTAGTGTTTCTATTATTTTATATTCATTCTTTTTAAACATACCCATTTTCAGATAAAATATTTTCAAACAAAACCAATCAAGCAGTCATATGTCTAGAACTTAAAACTGACTCAAAGCACTTAACACTGGAAGTTCACTATCAGAAACAGGTAGACACACTTAGTAACATTAGTAACAATGGGGCTTGAAGAAAAACTAATAAAGTAGTAAATATGTGGGAAGGATAGAAAAACTTATAGAAAAAATAACATTTTTCTTGCTTCTACCACTTTTAAGCTGGTTGAGTTTCAGATATTCTTTAGAAAAAATAGACATTAGATTAGAAGTACAGCATTTGAATGATAACAAAGATAAATAATGATCCTTCCTTTGATACTCTTTAAAAACTGTAATATTGAAATGTTAAAACCCCTACCAAATACCTCCAGGAGTAATTTCATATATATATATATATTTTTTCTTTTCTTTTTCCAAGACAAAGTTTCTCTGTGTAGCCCTGGCTATCTGGCTATCCTGGAACTCAATCTGTAGACCAGGCTGGCCTCAAACACAGAATGCCGGAAATCAACCTGCCTCTGCCTACTGAGTTCTGGGATTAAAGAAGTGTGCCACCATCTCCTGGCATAAAGATATATTTTCAATATCAGAGAAGATAATTGTTTTCTTTCTTTATAATTGATTTTGTTACAAAGCTAGAATTCTGTCAGCCATGTACCACTTGGTAGAATTATTGATGAATCTGGTATCTTACCATTTTTTATATTAACTTAATGTATTTCTAAAATATACTTCTGAGGGCTTTGGCTCAGTGGTAGAGTCCTTGCCTCTTTCTCGTGTATAAGCACTTGTAGTCAGTCCTCAGTCCTGCCAAAAATAAATAGGATATATTTGGTGCAGAAAAAATTTTGAAAGTTAGTCTATTTCATGACTTCATTAATAGCGGTGTTTTGGTATCTTATGATATTTAACTTTGAAGGTTTTAATGTGTCAACCTTCTTTCTTAGGTTACAGGTTGAGTCCTCAGACATTAGCTGCTATTGTTAAACGCTACAGCAAGAATGGCAGAATTTTCTTTGATGACTATGTAGCCTGCTGTGTGAAGCTTCGTGCCCTGACAGGTATTCAGCATTTAAGGTGGATTCAGTTTATGTGGCCATTTTTCTTGAATAGTGTCTTTGTTTCTTTCAGCAAATTATAAGTTTTTTTCACTTCTTTATTCACTATGATATCTAAATAGCCTTAAGGATTTAAAACATGACTATAAATAGAAATACACTGAAATCTCTGAGTTTTATAAGATTTTCATATTTAAGTTTCTTGGAATGTTAAGACAATTAAGATATGGTCAGTCCTAGTACCAAGAGGCATTCAGTATTGGGAATTGAAAGGTTTTAGACTATAAATCTAAAATATAGTTTTTTGTGTGTAAAGATTTCTTTAGGCGAAGAGATCACTTGCAACAAGGGATTGTGAACTTCATGTATGAGGATGTAAGTATTCTGAATACACTGTAACATTTGTACTTTGTCATTAAGTTATTGAAAAAAATTAAGTGATGGGACCAGCCAGGCAGCTTAGCATGTAGGCATTTTCATCAATCAGATAACCCGTGTGCCAGCCCCAGGACCCATGTGTTGGAAAGAGAAGACATTCTCCTGAAAGTTGTCTACATATGCATTATGACATGATTATGTATGCATGTGCATGCAACACACACACACACACACTAAATTAATTGATAAATATACAAATGCAATAAAAAGTTGAAAGACATTAACTGATCTAGAGCACAAACAATGAAAATAATATATTGGGTGGATACATTATTTTCTACATTTTTCACTAATGCAAATAAACGGTTGATGTTTGTATACTGTAAAATCATATGACAGGTGTTTGGTAGTTTATCTTTCCAATTTTTAATGGTAAACACTAACATTATTTTTATGAAGAGTTGTTAACTTGTGGTTATCTTTTCCTGAGAGAGAGAGAGAGACAGAGAGAGAGAGAGAGAGAGATTATTTTCAATGGCAAAATACTAAGCTGCTACTTTTTCAATTCAAACACTTTCCATGAACCCAGTTCTGGTTGTTTCTAAGTTGAAGCTAGTGGTTTTCACATGTGCTTTGGTGCCTTAGAGGTTTTGTTTTGGATTCATTATATTTCTTAATGGATGATATGGGATAGACAGTACTTTACTGACATATACAAGTTTGAATTATGTCTTAAAACAGTTTCATTTTTTTACAGTAAAAGTTCTCATGGAATGTAGTTAATTTCAAGCAAAGCAAACCCATTTGCTGTTGCCATGTGATAACACTCCTTATGTCTTAGTTTCTGCAGGGCACTATGACCATTTGAAAGTCTCGCTTTCCAAACGTGAAGAAGTACTGAAGAATCCTTCTGCTTCCCTGAAACAGACTGGACTACCTAAAATCAAAAGTTTGATGAACTTTTTTGCATCCCTCGCTGTTAAAGCTGCCCCCACCCCTTCTGTTATGTAACCTTAAAGCACAGTTCAATGCAATAACGTTTTTATTTGGGATATATTATTTTTGGAAAAGTTTTGTCAGTGCAGATGTACGCACGCTGTCTTGAAATGTTGCTAATGATATCAGCATATCTGAGCCTTAGTTTCTTTTAACAATAATAGTGTAAAGGAATGTAGTCACATGACAGATTGTTCACGAAGCCAAATAATAGAAGTCTAGGTAAAACTTTTATGTTATCTAAAGGCTACAAGTGATGCTTCTGATTTTGTTTAGGCCTGTGGGTGTTTCTGGGAGTGAGTCAGTCAGAGGGGCCATCTATACTTGTTGCTGTCTTTGTTTTTTATTACACCATCAGGGAACATAACCTTATGTTCCTGGCCTATGAATAAGAAAACTGTGACTCCTGAATTTGGGTCTATCAGCCTATGGTAGTAGGTATTGTCTTACCTTTCTTATTCCATTGTTTATTTTCTTCTATTTTTTTCTTTTAAAAGCAATCTCGGTTATTGTTTAGCTTTGTTTTGTGAGACGGGATCTCACTACAAAAACTCATGGTCCTCCTGCCTTGCTCCCCCCCCCCATTATATGCATAGATTCAAGGCCTGAACACCCATGCCCACCTAAAAGGTTTATAATGATGATACCTTTATCTTTCATTAGTGATGGCATAGATAACCTAAAGTGTCATTTTTCTCTAAGTTAGTCAGTTTTGGGGAATGACACATTTGAGTGAAGTGTTAGCATTCATTCATGCTTGTTCTTTAAACCTAAGTACTGCCCCTAAGTAAGGGCAACAGTTTATAAAGTTAAAAAATTCAAGTAATCAGCTACTGTTCAGAAATTCTATGTTAGATTAATAGTATGAACTAGTGTGTGTGTGTGTGTGTGTGTGTGTGTGTGTGTGTGTGTGTGTGTGAGAATTGTTTTGATTTATTTTTTACTTCATGGATTCTATTAGCAGCATTTCTGGTGAATTTTCTATAGAGATTTCAAGTAGTCACCACATTTTTCTAATTAAGTTCTCTGGTATAAGATGTCAGAGTTAATTTACTTTCTCACATGAAAAACACCCTGTCTTTATTAATGAAGATTTGATAGACCACTGAATTTTCATATATTTTAACTGAATATGTGTCTAATTGAAGAAAAATATGAATAGATAATAATTTTATTTTAACTGGTGACCAAATTAAATATTTTTAAAGAAAATGCCATGCCTCCCACCCCAGACCTCTTTTATAAATACAGAAAACTTAAAATCAACTTTTACTTGAAAAGACCCTGGAAAGAAATAATGTCTAATCATTTTGACATTGATCCCTCTATAGTTTGCTATCATATCCATTTGGTCAGTTTTATGAGAATTGGCTGATGAATAATCCACAAGCATTGCCCTCAGACTGTTTGTTTTGTGACCACATATTTAATAACCTGAAAGAACAGTAACTGAGCAATTGAATGTAAAGAGTCTGGAGCTGTTGTGGGAAAAAGATGCTATAAGTTATTGACTAATGAACACTCATGATGAATAAGTGCTTTTATTTATACAGTAAACATGTTTCCATGTCATTTTGAGATTTTTTTAATAAACATTCAAATAGCTTGCTGTAAAGTTTTGTATCATACAAAATTTGTTACATATATACTGTTATGAGATGCGTCAGTTCAAACAACAGTGCATTAATTCAGCTGTTATCTAAAAGATTGCCAAATGATTAAATGTCAGGTATTGCACTTCTAGTTCGAGTGGCAGTTTACACATTTTAAATTACATCAAGGGAAAATCAATACTATGGAATCTTGATTTGGTCCACTTTAAATGTATTTTAAGGACTGTGCTCATCAACCAATTTTAGGCATGCATTCAGAAAAAGAAAGTAACAAATATATATTCAAGTTATGTATTTATTTCCAGAAAAGGCATTTACCCTGGGAGAAAGTCGAATTTATCAAGGTAGTTTAAACTCTGTGCAATTAAAAAAATAACAAAATCAATTTGTGGTATTTCTTTAATTAAAATGTACAAATCAAGTCCACTTGTAACCTTATGATATTACTAATTGGACAAACAAAATAAATGCTATTTGTGAGAAATGTGCTTTTTTAAATGTCCTCTTATTTTTGACAAACTAAAGTGAATATGTTTTGTCTTGTCTCGTTAACAGCTTTCTGTAAATTTGATAGGGGTATGTTTTTAAAAACCTGTAAATTAAACCCATTGCTCAGAATCCCAGACTGCTTTTTTGCTGAAGACTGTAAAATACTACCATGGCTCTTTTATTACATTGGTACTTGCTTGAAAAGATCCATTTGTTTGTTTTAATGTAATAATCTATGTAGTGAGTTAAGCTTCCTCAAATAAATGCCTAAGGCTAAGGTGTCATCTAAAATATGTCTGCAGAGTATATACATACTACTGGAGGATACAAATGCAAATGTTTAGAACATCTGTAAGGTGGTGAATGAAGACAGTATTTTAAATGAATACCGTCCTCATCATTTCCCACTTACAACAAGATCAAGACATCTCTCCATATATTAAAATCTGGTTTCCTTGTTGCTTAGAACACCTAGAAGAAAACTTTCCAGCAAAACATTTGGAGAACTCAGGGAACCCTTTTGACTCAAGACCTGCCTATCATGTGAACTCTAGGAAACCTGTGCTTTGAATCCCTCTTGTTGTATTTCCTTCTACTAATTTTTAAACATTTTTCCCTGTCTTACAAAGAGTGTATGTTATTATCATTCCTTTTATCCAAGTAGCTTCATAAAATGTAGTGCATTATATTAAAACCCAGGTTTGCTTCTGTCAGTTTGAACATATAGTAAGTAGATGTACAGAGTGCTTCTACCTCACTACCATGCACCACAATTAGAAAATGCACAGGGTTTTTGCCCATGTGCTGGTCTTATTGTCAGGTGTGCCCTTTCATTAACATCAAGAAGTTATAGAGCATCATTTAATAGCTATATGGAGAGATGTGTGAACTAGGAATGATGGATTTCCAATTCTGATGTATTGGGGGTTGGAGTTTAACCTTTTCTCTAAGCATAAACATCTAAATATATAGATACATGCATATAACCATTTTGCTTTAGTTGTCTGTATTGCTTATTTAGTTGTCTTATTTTTCTATGATTACTGAAATTGCAAAAGATAACCTGAACAGTGAGGATGTTACTGTTCTAGAAATATACTAATTAAAGACTCATGTTATTTTGTAAATAATAGGCCATTTAGAATTGATTTTAGGATTTACTGGGCTTTTAATGCATATTTAATTTGTCACAGTTGTGTATGCAGAACCCTCAAATATGTCTTAGGATAAGAGATAATCTATGCTATGGAACGTTTCCAGGTATTTTGTTGTCTATACTTTGTCTCTGATTTCACAATCAGTTTCACTTACAGAGGGCAATGTAATATTTCCTGCTATCTGTAATAAGTTTGGTTTTACATTTATCATATGGGAACATATGCTCTTGGCTTCTTAAATCTTAAAAACGAAGCATGAAGAATCTATGTTACTACACAGTCAATGCTACCCTTAGCGCATGCTGTGTCTTTGAAGATAGTGTGAATTTTCTCAAGTGGCACGAAAGCAGCTAGGGGAGAAATTAAGCCTGTAGGAAACTTAAGCAAGAGGAAATAATAGCTGCATACTTCCCTTCTTGAAGGAAAAGACGAGCCAAGCTTTCATTATGAATGAGCCATTTTGAATGTGCATCAAAGGCCATTTATCCTTCAGAAAATTCTAGCTAACAATAGACATTTCAGTCATTTACTGCCGTGGTTCTGATGGGGCAATAAGTAAAATGTTGTGAGTTCTTTAATTTAATTTCAGATAATGCGTTCACCGCTCAGCCCAGCTTGCTAGTGGTCTACTAGGAGGTGAAACTCTAGCACTGTTACAATGATGTGAATGTCGAATTGTTCAGCACCACCATGCCTATATCTAGTACTGTACCTAACAAAATTTTGGAATTTGTTGGCTTCACTATTAAAAGTATACTAGCTAGCTAATAAGATTTACTTTCTTTTCCCCCAAAATAAATTCTTTTACAAAGTCTTGAATTTTTCATGTATAAATAGATCAGAAATTATATGTTTCATCTTT